AGAAGAAGAAGAAGAAGAAGAAGAAGAAGAAGAAGAAGAAGAAGAAGAAGAAGAAGAAGAAGAAGAAGAAGAAGAAGAAGAAGAAGAAGAAGAAGTACCTGCAGCAAACGGGAAGTATCCTCATGGTGAGCAGGAGCAAGATGGAGTGCGTGGTGAGAAATGTGAGCGGGAAGACGAAGGTGAACCAGACGAAGAAGCTGCCACATCCGTGCGCCCAGTAGCCTCGGACGAAGAAGTCTGCCGTCAGAGGGCAGTAGAAGACGCCCACAGCCAAGTCTGTCACTGCGTTGTGAAGGAGAACGATGTTCTGGCTGAAAGGTAGAGGAAGATGGAGAGCTTTATTTTAATGGAAGGGTTTTATCGGGCATGGTATTGATGATCATTAATAAATAATGAAACACCGAGCCCGTGGGGGTATAATTATGTTTTTGACCAGTTTTGATGTATAACGATCGACTTTCCAAATATACATTCTTTAACAGTACGTTCTATCTTTTATTCATGCTGTTCTGTAACAAGCGGCTGTGCGTCGTCACCGATGTGTACGTGTTTAAGATAGAGTCTTTTATTTTAACCCTATCCGTACGCCCTGGGGTCATTTTGTACCCCCGGGGTTGTATTCTTCACATTTTAGAATACTTCTAGTAGGAAGATCTCTTTGAAACTTTCAGTATTTCTCAAAAAATCATTTTGACAGACTGCTATGCAAAGCGTACGTATCGGATTAACGAGCACATTTCTTCTTTGGAAAGTGGTAGCAAAGAGTTCCCCACGTCGTATGGATACGATAGTAAAGCACGACGTACGGATAGGGTTTAATGGAAGTGTTTTATCAGACACGGTATTGAAGACCAACCGGAAATAAGAGGAGATAGACGAACTGGGAAACACAGAAACACGGTAAGGGATGAGGCAACCACTTAGGGTCTTGGTGTTGAACACTCCCCGATGAAGAACAAAAATATACTTTGTTGTGGGAGACAGACATAAGGTTGGCGTGGCGGGAGGGGGGGGGCAGATATGACTGCTTCACTTAGAAGCATGTGATCTGTTGGTACTGGAATATTAGTGAGCGAATGAATTAGCGGGTCGGGGTGGCAGTTATAGATCTAAACTCATAACTTCTGAAAGATTATTCGATTATCTTGGGAACAGAGTAAAAGGAGCCCAGATAACGCCCTTGGGTAATTATTGGAGGAGGTGGCCAGGGACTTGAAAGTTTGGGGTCGACCTTATGTATCTGACGGTACGGGAAGTAAGTAAATAAGTGAGTAATAAGTAATTTATACACCCCCATCCTCAGAATTTAGACCAATTAGGGAGGGGTCTTCCATCTCCCCTGTCAGGGTCAACACGGGTTGAAAAGGATACAATATCCCAGCAGAAAGACCGAGATACTCAATAAAAATGCTTCCCACAATGGGAATCAACACTCGGGTCTTCTACGACGGTGAAGCGCTTATTAGCTAGGCCACAGAGACCGGTAGATGAAGAATTGAAGATGAAAGGAAAAGTGACTTGCAAGGAGACAGACATATAACAAAAAGTGCAGAAATGTGTCTTGTAGGAAAAAGCTGATGGTGCTAGTTTTGGAAGAAAACGTTAATATTTCCCAGGGCCTTGAAATGATTTCAGAACTCTTTCAAGGTTTGCTGAATAATATAGAATGTAAAGCATATAGAGCTTGCTGTTGAGCGGGAATTTGCGCTGTGCAAATTCTATTTACTATTATTATTATTATTATTATTATTATTATTATTATTATTATTATTATTATTATTATTATTATTATTATTATTATTATTATTAAACAGAGCTTAGAGGCACATTTCAGGAATGTGGGATGAAACGGGGATGAAAATGGCATTTTCTAGAAAATGCAAACGTGAAACTGGTGAAGCCTAAAAAATGAGCCTTTTCAATGTTAATGAAATCATTTAAAAATCCACGTAATCTAGATGATTTCTTTGTTGTGATTGTTGTTATATAATAGAAATACAGAAATATCAATACTTTTGACAGTTCTTCGAAGGCCAGGGGTAAATCGGTTGGAGTTGGGTGGGGGTGGGGGTGGGGGGTGGGGTAGAGGTGCGGGTGAACGCTGAACACCCCTGTTGAAGAATTAAGTTCTGTGAGACAGACATGAGGAGAGTGCGGTTGGGGGAGTGGGGGTGGGGCGAGGGTGTGGGATAGGGGACGACAAAGGAAGCAATAATATTGCTGCTTCGCTTAGCAGCGTGCGAACTGTTGTTACTGGAATATTAGGAAAAGAATGATGGAGCGGACCAGCGTGGCAATTATTGATCTGAACTTCTGTCTTTTGACAGAGTATTCGATTATTTTGGGAAAAGACTAAAAGGAGTCCTGATAAGGCCTTTGGATTATTTCTGTGTGCATAAGATTATCTATTCCATTTTCAGACGCTATCAATATTCACTAGACGTCAGTGATAGAGATGGTGTGTTGCTGCTTTTTTTATTTTTAGAGGTCTTGATCTTGTCATATGGGATGAAGCCAACAAAGTGAGTTTCTACTCGATCAACCTCTAGCAGACGTGCTAGGAGAATAATAGGGGACGTTAGAATAATTTCTAGTGAGTTGTGAGTTAGCCTAAAGGACAGGGGAAAATAATAACTCGAACAGCATACAGAAAAGGAAACTTTCCATAAGATATTAGGTTGAACAAAAGAAAAGCGTAGATCTTCGTCAATGTTACATGGTTGAACATAAGAACAGGGACGATTTTCAGTTATTATCCTTTGTTTAATGTAGGTGATTTCCATCCCTATCGACACACAATTCTATTACTTATCAGAATGTGTTTCGCTGAAAAAACGTCTGCAAATCAGGAACGGTGTTAGGAAAATACTTTGTCGAAGACAAGAACATGGAAAATCAGGAAAAAATGTCTTGGTACCCAGAGCTTGTTGCCCGAAATAAAACGACAACGTTAACCGCTTGCCCTGACAAATGTGATTGATCCGCGCCGATAACGAGGTGGGGCTCGTAATAGGAATTTAGAGCCAATAATAGAGAGTCAACGATGTGACCGGCCCTGCCTGATTACATTGTGCGCACACCATGTGATCTCATCGAAATCGAAAGGCTTCAAGCACGCCTGCATGCGAAGTTGGTCAACTCCGGAACCCTTTTATAATGAATACATGTGTACGTTGAGCTGTTTTGGGGATCCAGGAGAGGAATGATTTCACGACCCGACCAAAGCGTCGGATCCGTTAACGTAGATCTGTGAAATCTCATCTAACGGGCACGCCGATTAATATGGAGAGAAAAAAAAAAGAAGCACGGCCCAATGGAATCGTGAAGCTGAATCAGAGTCGGAGATTTATGATTCTTGTTCTATTCGCTTTCGACATATCGCCTTCTCTTTATCTTGAGAATGTCAGGATTTTTCCCCTCTCCTTCAGTCCAGACTGGGGAAATAGCCGAAGAGAGCACAGCCCCAAATCGATTCTGATTTGAATGCATCGGCTGGTGGCAATCGGCGGCTCATAATTGGCTGGTCTAGGTGGCGCCCCAATCAGCCGCCGGAAGTCAGGTTGAAAGTACACTGCTCCTGATTTGAATAAAGCTGGGGGGTGAAGATATTTCAAGGGGAACAAGTGCGTCTACAGAGAATCGATACTTGCTTCTGATATATAATAGTATATGGGTGAGGCACAGGCTAAGCATTAGGAGAGGGTATTGAGTCGTACTTGAGTTTGAGAGAGGGAATTCTGTATTCGCGTTGGTGATGAAATGTTTGACAGCAGAGCGTTATTGACTGGGACCCCGCATTAGACAGGTCAGAATTTTGTATTCGGACGCGTGATATAGTACGGGTGTGTCGGTTAAGGAAAAAGAGGAAAGGGCCAAACGTGTCATGGCTGCAAATACGTCACAAGAGTGGAATGAAGACAACATCACACAAAACACATGGGTATGTCTCAAACAATGGAAAGACGGTTACATAACAAAAAGAGCAAACCAGTAAGTCATGGATATGAATGAATAAATATGTTGTACCCATAGTTGAACATAATGAATATACGTCACTCATGCGAACAGACAAGTACGTTACAAATGAAGAATGGGCACACATTTTCACGAAATTGGGTCGTCCGTGGAACCCATAGATCGCTCAGGCTTAAACAAATAAACTAACCCTCGGTGTTTTGTTCAGTACGAGTAAGAGTTTCATGACCTTAGCAACACAAATAGGTCATGTACTATAAGTGCCGAACCTCAGAAGAGCTGCAAGAGAGTAACACACGAGGAAAAGAAGAAGGGCGATAGATGCTTGATAGAAAAGAAGTAAAGAGCAAACCACACCAGACTCACAATGTGACTGTCTTTGTGGAGTAAAGGCATTTCTCTGAACGTGATTCTATCTCTCGTTCCACATTAGAGCATGCCCATAATAATGAGTTAACATGGCGACTTGCTGTCGTCGAGGCTAGGCCATTGAAATCTCGTCTCCTTCTGTTTCTAAAGTTCTGTGTGGGACTGGGGTCGATCGAAGAATTTTTGGGTTGATTTCCCTTAGGAGAGGATAATATCTATGATCGACTGCTGCTTCTGGAATGGGATCCCTTATGACTTTCTTTTTGCGATTCTCCGTTCCTCGAATCTGTTATGCAGACCACATTAATAAACTGGGGAGAATATCAAGACCTCAGGGTCAAAAAGACGAAACTTCATTTCGAAGAATCTCACACTTCTCGTTTGGATGTAATTGAATTTTTCACCTTCTCAACTCTTTACAAGCTATTTCTCTTCGAAATTTTGCTGGCGGGTAAGAAAGGGGAGAAAACGTGATATTTTATAGCAACAACTTAAAAATCGCCCTGCATACTTTTGTACTGGGATCTTCAATTTAAGACCAATCATTTCCGGTTTTGGAGCGCGCAGTTTGGGGGTTGTGGTGGAAGTGGGGGGGGGTTAACCACCTTTTGCAATTGAAGTGGTTAGAAAATAAAGGGTCCAAGTCACATCTTGGTTAAGATAGAGTTCATTGTCTAACGTCGGGCATCAGGGAAAAGTACATAATATAGCATTTGAACGAAACGACGAGACGGTTTGAATCAGAGTTATAGTCTTTACATTTTACCCAAACTCGGGAGTATATGTGAGTCATCGCCGTGAAATCAGGCGCTCGTCAAAAAATGAAATCGAAGAAATCGACATTTTTTCGGTCCAATGGACAAGTTTTATCGAAATTTTGTTTCTTCACTCAACACCTTCCATGCAAATTTAGAAACACTTATTTGTGAATTTACAGAAAAACGTTGATTAAAGGCATATAGAGTTTAAATTTGCAGTTTTCAAGAACTCTCAAACTATGGAAGTCCCAAAACTTTGGAGGCCATTTTCTCGCTAATTTTACCTCTGAAACCAGGCGACCCCCAACTCCCTCAATCACAGGTATCTCTACTTCTATTCAAGATAGATGGTTACTTTTTTTCACAAAAAGCAAGACAAATAAACAGGCTTTAAGATGATAACAATAACTCCATATGTCCAAAAATTGACGAGAGCCTGATTCCACCGCGTCGTAACACACATTATAATTCATACGTCCAGCTGATAATTTGTTTCATTTTTATCGCTTTCTCATGAATTAGGGCGCCCTCTCATATAATGGCGCTCTCGTATTGATTAGGACACTCTTTCATTATATGCGTGAATTATGGCGCTCTCTAATAATATAAAATTATAACGGCGCACTCTCATTAATTATCTTTTATATAGTAGAGGGTTTTAGGGCGCTCACAACTGCATGCATTATCGGGCTCTCTCATAATATATAAAAATGGCGCACTATCACAGATAAATGGCTGGCGCTTTCTCGTGGATTATGGAGCTTTCAAATACATGTGTATACAATGGTGCATTCTCATAAATAAGCCCGCTCTCGCACATATAATGGTGCATTGTCATGAATTAGGTTGCTCTTTCATATATAATGGTGTACTCTCATAAACAAGGCCGTTCTCCCATGTATTATAATTGTGTGCTCTCATGAATTAGGCTGCTCGTTCATATATAACAATGGTGTTCTTTTATGAATTAGGGCGGTCTCTGGTGTCATAAAATTGCATACTCCCAAGAAACAGGCGCATTCTCGAGTATTGGTTCTATATCCAACAAACAAGTGCGCTCTTGTATGATTTAAGGCGCTGCCTCATAATATACTATAATGGCATAGTCTCATGAATTTAGAGCACACCCTTGTAAAATGGGGCGTCCTGATAGCTCAGTTGGTGTGTCAGACTAGACTACGATGAGGGTAATCTGGGTCTCACAAAGAGAGCATCCATTAACTTCTGTTGAATAATTAGTTTTCAAGTGTGTTACACAATTTTAACTGTCTTATGGAAAAATTGAGTTAAATATAGAGCCCCCCCCCTCCCCCCCCCCCCGCGCGCCCCAAGCCATTCCACTCCCAACCCAGTTCCTTCCCCGACCCCCTTTCCCCTCCACAAACACTTCTGACCCTGTAAAAAAGTTATATGGTTTTGAAAGTAATGAAAGGGAGGTGAAGCTTACATAAAACAAGATATCTTATGAATGGTGTTGTTATGAAAACAAAATACAACACATTTATTAAGAACTAGACAAAAAACTCCAACAAAGAAAACAAAATCGACATGGTAAAAACCTTTTACACCTTACCGACTGTTTAGAAGTTTCACATTCGTAATCAGGAGAAAGATGAGAAAAACATTTGCTGCGGAAATCCACGCGGTGTACAAGATGGCGGCAGCAGCATTTCCGGCCTGACTTCCCCACGGGTGGTATAGAGCGGTGGAAAAGTTGATCACGTGATGTGTGGCCAAGCTGAAGTCTTCTTGAAGAGTCCCGACCCATTCGTTCTCGTGAGATCGTCTCTGGATTGACTAACCATGGTGCGTGTTATTTTGTTATTTTTTAGAGGAGGAAAAAAAAAGGGGAGGGGGAGGCATTTCTTTTTTAGTTTGTTATCATTATCATTAGTGTAAAATAGAGTCTTCGGTAAGTCTGGTTCGTGCAAACAGCTAAGATACATTAAAACCTCTTGTAACAAAAAGTAAAATTGTTCCAATTCGCAAAGAATATTCCTTCCCCCTCCTCCCCCTCCTCCCCATTACACGAATTTAGTGTCAACAACAACAACCTAATTGCAATAACAACGACAACAATAATAATGTTGATAATAAATAAACAGCAACAGTAAGAGGTTTATTTCATTTAGCCGCTGTCATCTGTGTTCAGAGGCTCCATTATACATTGCATGCTTACAACGCAGGAATAATGACGATGGAACCAAGATCTGTATGAACCATTAACAATTACCAACAGCTGCAAAAGCTAGATAACAGCTTGAAGAGAAATTCAATGGGGAAAATCCCAGAAGACTGTACTCCACAACATTTATCTGAAGTGTCTTTTTCTGCTATTCATCAGCTATTTAATCATTTTTTGTTCAAAACTCATGTTTTTTTCACATACGCCTACACAAGTCGGATTCTTAAATTAAATATAAACTTTCCTAAGTAACCGAAGGTTTTATTAAAAGATAGTATGGTAATGATTTTTGAAGTAACCAGTGGGTGGGTGGATCTAGTTCTAGAGAAGGATGAAGTTGTATCTCTCTATCTCTCCCCCTCCCTCCCTCCCTCCCTCTCTTTCTCTCTCTCTCTCTCTCTCTCTCTCTCTCTCTCTCTCTCTCTCTCTCTTTGTCTCTGTCTCTCTCTCCCTCTCTCTCTCTCTCTCACTCTGTGAGTACGTACTTGCGTGCGTGCACGCATGTGCCAGCACCTATGCGCACCAGGAATATTCCTTCCACAGTGCACAACCTGGACGATCAAACCACTTTGAGATTTATAAGATTATAACATTTCAAATTTTAATTGAGATATGTTATTGCCAATTATCAATATAGACTGATCAATCTCTACGCAACAGACATAAACAATAAGCTCACCTCCATGACAGGAAACAAGAGGAGTGTCCTTTTTCGTCCTTGTATAAAGCTCTACGCGATAACGCACCGACTCCCACTGGATGATTACCTCCCTTGAGCGATGAAGGTTATTTCCCCTTGTTACTGTCCCCGGCCACAGACTCTCCAACTCTCGCTGGGAATACGGGAAGCCGCGGGCAACAGGAAGTTGTTATTTCATCTCGCCGCCATCATTTGTGTCTAGAGCCTTCCGGTAGACATTGCTCACAACACAGGAATAATAACGGTGAACCTAAGAAAGATAAAACGATAATGAAAACTGAATGAAATACAACTGTTCGAGGTAATGTTTAAGAAAAAGCGAAAATAAAGCAGATGAGAAAGGCATAAGGATGATGTAAACGATAGGAAATCAAAGCGTTCTGAGCTTGAGTGTTAAATGCATTTTTTTCAATATGACTGTGACCACAGATGACAGTATGACACAGCTTTAATGCCCCTTTCGACACAGTAAGATTACACAAGAACCGGCAGGCAGAGAAATTAAGAAGTAAGAGCGACTGTTGGCACTGAGTCCTGCCTGCACTTCATAGAAAAACAGAGAATAGAATGGTTTGACCATCTGTTACAAATGTCACTTAATCTGCCAGCCGCGAGAGATTATAACACCAAGACTTTAACACCCAGTATTCAGGCTATAAAGGAAGAGGTAAACCACGCAAAAGATGGATCTGGGAATCCAAGAAAAAAGCAATGAGAAATCATAATATTCACATTGAAAGAGTTGCAGAGCTAGTTTACCATAGAAAACTGCACCTCCCCTCGACGCTTAACGGCAACAGAGGATAAAAAAGTAAATAAAGTTAGACGATACAGGCAGGACAGGACTTCTGATTAAACGATAATCTCCTATACGACAATACTAACAAATGAATTGCGAAGGGATTCAAACTCTGGGAGCCAGAGTCAGGTATACAACCAGCTGAGCCATGTACCTTGTGAGTCTATCGATGTTCTAAATTATGTCCGTGGTCCAATGGAAAAACGTTTCCTATCTTGAAATTTTCATTGGATCTAATCATTTTCCTTTTACCTTATTAATGCCGCGGTTTTTTTTCTCCAGAATTACTAAGTAGTTTTATTGTTCTTGTACTCTGAGGCTTCAAGATCTAAAAGTTTTAGTATATTTTTTCATTACTTACTTACTTTATTTTATCAGCCGCTTATACCGTGAGATGAAGAATAAAAAATAAAAAAAAGACTATGGCACCAACGTAAATATCACCCATTTAATCTACGTCTGAGCATAAATTATGCTCAATTATGTTCTTATGCTGACAGAGAGACTGTGACTCTAGTTTAAAAAATCAGTGGGTCTTAGTGTTACTTTACAAACTCCCTTTTGGAGGTATATTATTATTTCCTCATGTTCAAGAATCAAAGACGTAAGTCATGGTGAACTTTGCTAAATTAAACTTTTGGAGGAAACCTTAGAGCATTCACACTCAAAAGGCACGCACTGCTTTTTCTGTGTTTGAGAATTCTATTACAAGAGAACTACACAGTGTATCACTTTAACAAATATTTCGCGACGCGGTCGAATCAAGCGCTCGTCAATTTTGGGGCATCTGGAGGAGTTATTGGTATAGTATTAAAGCTTGTTCATTTATCTCGTATCATTTGTTTTGTGTATGGCTAAAGAAATACCCTCCTATCTTGAGCAGATGTCGAGACATTTGGTTTTGGAAGACATGGGAGGTCGTGTGGTATCAGATGTAAAATTAGCGAGAAAATAGTGACTTCCAAGCAAGCTTGAGTGTCCTTAAAAATTTCAAATGTACTTTTCCCGTGTCTTCCTTTAACGTCTTTCAGTAAAATCAAGACAGAAATGTATTTTGAAAAATAGATAATATAAAAGGTGTTGAGCCCAAAATGAGCGTTCAAATTTGCGTTACGGGCAGAAAAATGTAAGTTTCTTCTCTTTCATTATTTTGACGAGCGTCTGGGTTCCCTACGATACCACACATTTTTTTTTCTTTTTCTAAAGCGCGAACTACAAACAGACCGGACGTTTTCACATGATGTGACCGCAGTGCCAACTCATTGTGAAAGGGGGAGACTAGTGGTGCTGTCTGGTGACTTAGTGGCGGGGACAGGAAACTTCAAGGCTCCTGAGTACTTTCTCTCTCTCTCTCTCTCTCTCTCTCT